AATATACTCCTTTTTGGCATGGCTTTGGGCAAAACTAGGGTGTGGGCCCCTGGTAGATATCAGGATAGCCTCTTATTCAGAAGCAGAGTAGACAAAGGTTTCTCCGTCAGTTAAGTCTAGATGTGCACAGGAGCCCTCCTAAGCACTTCTCCTTCCCTGTAAAGACTGGATGATTGTAGGCCTTCCCCACATCAGAAGGCAGGCAGTGCAGAGCTTCAGCATTTTCTGATACTTCTCATTGGCATCAGCACATAGACGGGCATAGTGAGGTCACATGGCTGCCATCAGGATGGTAAGGCTGGGTTTTCTACAGTGAATGGGTGGTAGACTTTTCCCTATCAGGGTCTCTTCCAGCCATACCATTCAAGCTGTCCTAGGTACCCAGGAAAGGGGAGGACCCTGCGGGGGGGGATCCTCCATTGAGTAGTGCCCACCCTTCCCTTTTCCGAGGGGACATCTATGAGTCTACTTAATGACCCTTAATACCACAAATTGCCCCCTAATGGGAAAGAGACCTCCCTTCTCTCTGGGAATGGGGTGTGATTACAGGGCAGACACCTTCGCACAGGTTCCATGGCAGCTGAGGGGGCAGCCAGCTATGAAACAGGGCGGCAAAAAGAGCCATAATCTGCGCCTGGCTAATGAGGAGTGACCCAGCCTGCGTTCGGTGAACACAGTGGGGGACAGGCCCATTAGTTACAGACCAGCGGGCAAGGTCCGAGGCAGCGATGCTCATACTCCAGCAAGATGCACTGGATGCTATTGGAATGACCTCTGAATCATCCAGCTCTCCCACAAATTGCTCACTAAGATTTTCCCGTCATTTCTGAGCTGCAATGTACCTGTTCTCTAAAAACTCCCAGTTGCAGAGGCTGTGCCTAGGACAGTGAGGTGCACACAGCAGTCATACATCATAATAAGTAGGACAGCTGGCTGCTCCAGGGCAAAAATTCTGGCCAATTCCTCCTTATCTAAGTGCCTTGTTTTGGGCTCATGACAGCTGCTCAACAGACATTTATTAAATGAATGGGTGCCCTGCTTTATGAATTATCTACTGAACAGAGTCCCTCCTCCCTAAATGCTTCATGGGTAGAAATAATAGCTCCCTCTCCACCTCACCTCCCACCCCCAAGATGAAGAATGCTGGGAGTCATCACAGAGGTCATGGGGATGGTGAGAGGTGCCTTCACTCTCCAAGGCCAGCTGGCAAATGAGGAGCACCACCTATTATTCAAGGCCTGGGACCAAGCTGCCACCCCACAGGCCAGAGGGGAGACTCTGCGCCCACCCTTAACAAAAATAGAAGCTGGGTGAGCACCAGACTCCTCCGATTGCCAAGAGCTTCCCGGATCTGGAATCAGAGGTCTCCGACAAGCCTCCCACCAGAAAGGAAGCTCAGCGTGGCTCACGCAGTAACTATTTCCTCACGCCCTTGTTTAGATGTGGATCTGCATACACACAGCCCTCGCCCAAACCGCCACCCTCCTCACCCCCTTTCAGAAACACCAAATAAGTAGAGGGCTGAGACACTTCGTTCTGCACAGATATTTTAAATTAATCTTGAAGCAACTTAAAAGGACTGTTTTTCTCCCGTTCCCTACTCCCAGCACATTTTCTGTGGCAGCTGGGTCAAGCCTGAGTGGCATTTGCACCACTGACTCAATGACAAAATATTCCTGGGCTGCTTTCTTCCCATCATCCGTTCACTCCCTCTGTTTTGTTTATTATATTCTGTCCCCTCTCCCCCCCCTCCTCCATACACCACACACACACACACACACACACACACACACACACTTCTTTATAAGGCATGAGAACACCATGGTACATGGAACCTAAACTGAAAGTACTGGATTCAGGGATCATGTACTTGGATGGGGGAAAATATATGCCTTTATTTTCACTAACCTCCAACTGAAATATAGCATTCTCTTCAATTATGAATGTAGGCAACAAGCTACATTGCTCTTCGTAATACCTGTACCTCTGAATACACATCTTCATATCACATCAGGGTTAGTTACCCTAAAATATCATTTTTGCTCATTGCTACTTCAAAATCAATGGTAATTGTGAGACTTCAAGTAGATTTTATTATTTAACATGTTAAAGAAGTACATGTTAACTGCTATTTTTAAACTTATTAACTGTACTTCAATAATTATTTTCCAAGCCTAAATATATTATTTTGTACATTTACAAATACTACTCTTAGAAGGGGTCCACAGAATGGTTGAACCCTGCTGTTGAGTGAGCATCGGGAGGTGGGATTTGAGATTTTCCCTGGAGTCATCAGGGCGGGGACTCAGGGACTAACAAGCAGTGCTCAGCGGTGGCATGAAGCAGGTCCTAGGAGCAGAGGACAGTATGGCTTTTGGATAAGAGCTTCGGTGAGCTTTAGAGACAGACAAAATGCTGGCTCTATTTGGCAGTGTGATCCTGGGCAGGCCACTCCATCTCTCTGAGCTTCCATTTCCTCCACTATAAAAGAGGAATACTAATATGCCATGTGATTCTTGTGAGAGAGAATGAATCGAGAGAATGTATGTGTGGCAGCAATTACTGCCTAGTGGACTGGCACTTGTCTGACTCTAGAACAGAGGACCTCAAACTACGGCCCACGGGCCACATGCAAATACAAATATTGTATTTGTTCCCGTTTTATTTTTTAAAAATATATTTTTATTGATTTCAGAGAGAAGGGGAGAGGGAGAGAGAGATAGAAACATCAATGATGATCAGCTGCCTCTAGCACACCCCCAACTGGGGACCGAGCCCACGACCCAGGCATGTGCCCCTGACCGGAATCGAACCTGGGACCCCTCGGTCTGCAGTCCAACGCTCTATGCACCAAGCCAAACCAGCTAGGCTTATTTTTTTTACTTCAAAATAAGATATGTACAGTGTGCATAGGAATTTGTTCATAGTTTTTTTTTAAAACTATAGTCCGGCCTCCAACGGTCTAAGGGACAGTGAACTGGCCCCCTGTTTAAAAAGTTTGAGGACCCCTGCAAAAGGTCAGCCTTACCTACCAGGGTCTTCTGGTGCTAAAGGTATATGGTTCATCTTACTTTCAAAACAGGCACCATCTGTGCCCCATGCCATCTTCCCTTTACCCTTGAGCTTCCGGGGTGCTGTGAAGTGCCTCAAACTCTAAAATACATCTAGGCAGACCTAGTCCCCTGCCTCCCCCTCTGTCCCTGTCACTGCAATGGCCAGCTAGGCCAGGCCGGAAAGCAGTCCCCTGCCCCAGAGCAGAAGAAAACCCAAATAGAAAGGAGCTATTCCAGATTTTTCTTACCCCAGGCACAGGAGCCAGAGTACCTGCCACCGGCTTCCCAGGGCCGCTGGCTCCTGACCTGGTGTCTCATAGCTTGGTGGACAGTGACAGGATCCCATAGTCCAAGCGGCCCTTCCCAGAGCAGGCCAGGGTCAGACCCAGGCTGCCAGGCCCCTGGGCAAAGAGCCCTCAGGAAGTCAGGGAAAACCCTGCAACTCCTAAGGTTATACAAGAAACCCCTTTAATGTCCCTTGACTTAAATGATGTTCAGAAGTTCTGTTGTAGAAAGGGGCTGTGCAGTCTTTAAAAATGGCATGTATTGATTTCCTTCTGATTATAAATTATAAAAAATTGGAAAATACATAAAATTTATACCGAGGAATTAAAATTAACCATAAGCTTGTCCTCTGAGAATCAAAACTATTAACACTGTGCTGAATTTTCCTCCAGTCATACCTATGCTGGCACTCTCACATAAATTAGGATCATCATTATATAGAGTTGTGTTTTTTGCTCCTTTTCCCTCCTTTTTGCACCCCCTCCACCTCATCCCCGGCCTTCCCCATGCTATTGTCTGTGTCCATGGGTTATGCATCTATGTATATTATATAGTTTCATATCCCGATTTCATCACTTAAAAATATCTAGAGATATTTTCAATATGAGCTCTGAAAAGACACAAAACCATTATATTAGACACTGTCAGTAAAATCCATAGGTTACTGAGAGATGCAGAGTAGCATTATGCATTTAAATAAAAGTTATTTCCAGAAAACTGATAGGAGGAGAGCCCGTTTCACTCCCCCTAAAGCACATATAATAGCAACTCTCTTCTTTACCTTGAAAAAAACCTGGAGAAGATACCTTTGTGTCCTCAGCAACGAAGCACTACATGATATATATATATATTTTTCCCTTTCTCATATCTCCCCTGATAAGGAGAAAGCTATGAAAATTCACTGCTAGAACATTGGGGCCTGCTTAAGTGCTGGCTGAGCTGCTGGGGAAAAACCTTTTGAATGAAGCGCATGGCACAGAGAGCCCTGACTTCAAGCTGAAAAAGGCTGGATTCATATGTCAAGTCTGCCATTGTAGCCCCAAGATCAAGGAGCACCCCATTTCCCTGCAGGTCAGCAGCACCACGCACCTCCAGGGGTGGGAGAGCTGTGCAGTTAGGTAAGGCTCTGCACGTGGAATGCTTTGTCAACAGTCGAGTACACTGCCCAGCACTAGTCCCTCAGTCATGTTACTGCGGCTGGTAACAGTATTATTATTTTTGTTGCTCAGCCAGCTCGAACCATTCAGTACAGGTCCTGAGAGGGGCAGTGTCCAGCCGTGGGGAAAAGCATGGGCTCGGCAGCTGCACTGCACTGCCTTGTTTGGCCAAGTTATTTAGCCTCTCAGTTTCTTCACCTGTAAAATGGGATAATGATGATACATCTACCTATAGGCCTTCCGAGGGTTAAAATGCGTTCATTTATACTCAGTGCTTACAACAGTGCCTGGCGCATAATAAACACTATATAAGGAGAGCTTTAAGGAGTCAGTGAGCAATGGCCAGAGATGATTAAAATAAATGTGTACCAATAAACACTTAAAAAAACTTTCCACAAAAGTCATTAATCAGAAAGCTGAACTGGCAACCTCGATCAGTTTCTCTAAAGAGCAGTGGCCACCTGCCCCCAAACCCCAGCCCCAGGTGGGCCGGCTCCCCTCCTACCTTCTCTGCATCCTGCTCGAAGAGCCTCAGCTGGAAGCACTGGTCCAGCTTGAGCTTGCGTACGTGCCACATCTGGTGCAGGTGCTGCCGGGTCGAGTGCAGCTTGTCCAGGAGGCTGGTGATCTTGGGCACCAGGCTCTGGAAGTCAGCGCTGCCGGGGATGCAGTTGCGCCCTGAGAAGCCGTCGCTGCAGCGGATGCACTGCAGCAGCCGCTGCCCCTCCCGGTCCAGCTCCTCCACGGGGGCCTTCAGCACCTTCTTCTTGAGCTGAGTGTGCTCATCGATGAGCCGCCGAGAGCCCTCCACGTCCACGGGGAACTCCTTCCGAGCCAGCATCTCCTGCAGGTCCTCCAGGCGTGAGAGCAGGTGCACGGCGCTGTTGAAGAACTCCTCCAGGGACAGCCGCAGCTCGATCCACTCCTCGTGGTTGTAGTCCAGGGAGCCGTCGAACTCCTCGGTCAGCTGGGAGGGGTCCACCAGCTTCGTGAGGCCCTCCACGGACACCATGCTCGTCTGGGGGACAGACACAGAGAGGGTGACTCAGTGAAGGTGGAGGGGGAGTGAGGGGAAACCAGGGCAGCTGTAGGCAGGAGGGGAGGAAGTCAAGGGGAGAGGCCAAGGTAAGTCCACGTAATAATGACCACAGCCTGCGCAGGAAAGGGCCGGTGGGTGAGCACGTGGCCTGCTGGTCATCAGCTACAAATCAGCCAGGGTAAGCAGTTTCAACAGACCAGCTGACTGCCTCCAAAAGCCTCTCCACCTGCCCACCACTTGCTATTCCAGGAAAGGCTGCCTTTAAGTCTCAGCTGCCTTCATCTTCCTCCTCTCCACCCCCGAGTCACCACAGCAGGACTTCAGATGCTAGAAGCAGGAGTGCCTGAGGGTCTGGTTCTCCAGAGCTTAAAAACCCAGCCAGACCCATGACCCAGGACATCATCACGGTTGCATGAAGCAGTGTGGGTCAACTTTGGGCTGCAACGGTCTGAGTCAAGCTTCCTGCCTTGGGCTGGGTGAGCCTCTGCCGATACTGAGGCTCTCCTGGTAGCAGACACCAGTCTCTGATTTCGTTGGCCTGGACTGGAGTGTGTGCATGGGTAATTTTAAAAGCTCACCAAGTGACTCTAATGTGCAGCCACTGATACAAACCTCTGCTAATCTAGATCCTGGCGACTCAAAGTGTGGCCCTTGGCGGCAGCATTAAGACCCCCTGGGAGCTTGTTGGAAAGCAGCATCTCAGAAGTCAGATCTGCTGAATCACAATCCACATTGAACGCGATCCCCAGGGACTCTGTGCATTAAACTTTGAGCAGCCCTTCTTCTAGAGCACTTTCCCCTTCCAATCTGGCTCCCAGTTTACCACGTCCAGGAAGTCTCCCATGATTATATGCACCAATTAGTCATTAAGTATCTGCTATTGAACAAGCCTGTACCCTCAGCCTGCATGAGGGATTTCATTGGCTGTTCGTAAGGCATTGCCTTATAAATACTCTTCTGAGTAGGAGGCCCCAGCTCTCTCCTTACTTCTTATTTAGGAGGCAAAGACAAGCTTGCTCAACTTGTGGCGAAGGAAGAGGGGAAGGGCTGAGCAGCCACACTGAAACACAGTTTCAGGACTTGTTGGAAAGAGTACTTTCATTCTTTTCAGGTTATAAATATATAGGCTTGTTATCACCACCTCTGTATACAAAAACCAAAACTACAAAACACAGGGCTCCTGCCCAGCTGGTGTGGCTCAGTGGTTGAGCGTTGACCTACGAACCTGGAGGTCACGGTTGGATTCCTGGTCAGGGCACATGCCTGGCTTGTGGGCTCGATCCCCAGCAGGGGGCATGCAGGAGGCAGCCAATTAATGATTCTCTCTCATCATTGATGTTTCTATCTCTCTCCCTCTCCCTTCCTCTCTAAAATCAATAAATCTATACTAGTATATTGAAAACCCTTCAGAATGAAGTGGCATGGCACTGAAACAGGGCTGCAAATGTATATATATATTTTTAAAGCACAGGGCTCCTAATGTTGGGGTGGGGGGGGGCGTGCTGGGAGAGTAGGAGAGCTGATTTTATACCAAGTCAAATTCTTTGTGTTATTTAAGCAGAGTGAGAATCACTTCGGTCAGTTGGTCAGGTTGCTGTGCTCCATCACAAACTACTGGGGCCACCACGCCACACACAGGCACTCCTGGCCTGGGGGGTAGGGTCTGGAGTGGAAAGTTGCATAAGTTTAGGTGCAGCTCCGCCTTTCCAACATGCACACGTACACAAGGTTCATCCCCCTGCAGATGAGGGCTAGGGTTCCGGGAAAGGGGAACAGCTTGGATTTGGCTGGAACAAAAGTTCCTAAATCACTGACTTAATCTGCTGTGTCACCATTAAAAATCCTCATATGCTGTCTGGGAAAACCTAGCTAAAGAGAAAATAATAACACGTTCTCCTTGTGTATAAGAGAAAATAGAAAATATGAAGAAAATGAAAATCACCTTTAATCCAGCCACTGCTAATAGTCTACTAACATTTTCACGTGTCTCTCAGTCTTCTTCATTACGCACTTAAAAGACAGACTTCAGATTATAATTCCCATAATGGTTAGAAACCTTCCTTTTTTAAAACAATATATCATAAGTATTTTTCAAAGACACTATTTTTCTAAATATGATTTGCATTGAGATATAATTGACATATAACTAAATATGATTTTAATAGCTTCATGTATTTGTGAATTAATGTTACCAAAATTAATGGATATTCAGGATACAAACTATGTGTATGCACATGTATATGTGTATATGTGTGTATATATATATCTGTATATATGTATGTGTATATTATGGCAAAAAACACTATGATGAATGAACATTCTTGTAGACCATTATCTGTTTATAATTATAATTAGATTTTCAAGAGATTTTGTTTAGCTTTTATATTACAAATATTTTCTAAGAAGAATTACTAGATCAATAGCCATAAACTTTAAGGCATTTGGGCCAAATTACAACGTTGCCCCCAGAAACAACTGTCCTAATTTACATACTCACCAATAGTACACAGAATTGCCTACTGACACTGTGCAATTAGGACGATCTCTTGATCCTCGTATTCCTCTCTAGATACTAACCGGTAAAGCCACAGTAGCCAAGGACTCCAGAAATACCAGCCACAGACATGGGTACAGTAGGGTGGATGGAGAAGCACAGTGAGAGATGTGTGTGTGGCGGAAGGGAAAGGGGTGCTCAGAGAGCGGTCTGGCTCACCTCAAAGATGAATTTGGAGCTGCCAAAGTTGGTCTTCTGTTTCTGCCAGAAGTTGTCGGGTTTAATGATGAGGGCCACATGGATCTCGGCTGGAAAGGCTTCCTGCAGCGTCTTGAGGAGGGGCTTGATGAGGTCCCACTTGGAGCCCCGCATGTCGATGATGACGGTGAAGCCACGTTTGCACACGTCCTCACTGTGGGGGGTCAGAGGTCCGGCATGGTCACTCTGGGCAGCTGAGACTTTGAAGTACACAGTCCAAAAGCATCCAGAAATCTGCATTCCTTTTCATCGGGCCACCCTTCCAACTTCACACCAGGTCTGCGGGCTGCCTTCCAATCCCACTAAAAATGCACTGCCTCAGAAGACCTTCCTGGCTTAACCCCATCTGCCGCAGGGTGTCTGCCTTCTCCTAGCACTCAGCAAATGACTCAGCCTTCCCTATAGTCATTGGCGCTTGATGGGGTGTTTACTGTTTGGGTATTCCAATTTCTGTTTGATTTTACATTTAGTTTTTGTCTCTCTCGCTCCTGGGAAGAATCATGTTTTTCCTATTTGAAGACAAGCCCTGTACCAACAGGGACCGTGAGGCCCTAATATCTGAGATGGAAAATCCTTGGCATGAGGGCTGCCCTTCCCCACGCCCAGAGCAATGGCAGTCACTGGTACACTTTGCCACTGAACCCAAACGGAGCCAAAGAATCTTTTTCAATAAAAGATTCTAGATTGGCCCTAACCGGTTTGGCTTAGTGGATAGAGCGCCAGCCTGCAGACTGAAGGGTCCCAGGTTCGATTCCGGTCAAGGGCATGTACCTTGGTTGCGGGCATATCCCCAGTAGGGGGTGTGCAGAAGGCAGCTGATCGATGTTTCTCTCTCATCGATGTTTCTAACTCTATCTCTCTCCCTTGCTCTCTGTAAAAAATCAATAAAATATATTTTAAAAAAGATTCTAGGTTGATTCTATGCATTGATAAGAGATGGTACACAAAGTATGAATAAGGCATATTTGTCACCACTGTATTTAAGATGTATTACTTGTAGTTCTAATGTTTGTTAACTTATAAAAAATCAGGTTGTTGCCAGGACGGTGTGGCTCAGTGGTTGAGCATTGACCTATGAACCAGAAGGTCGAGGTTCGATTCCTGGTCCGGGCACATGCCCCGGATGCGGGCTCAATCCCCGGTGTGTTGTTGTGGCATTCACTGTGACGTTCGCTGCGCCAACTAGCGGTGGGATATCTGAAGCTGGCTCGTAACCCTAATTTTAGCTCGCAACTCAAAGCAACCTCTCTGAAATCAATAATATATATATATATATTTAAAGAAATCAGATTGTTGAGTCATGCTGATTACTCACAGACAGCCAAATGTGGGACTGATGAAAGAGATGGATATAGTCTGTTGTCTCATGTACTTCCATTATAAGAGTCAGGGTATGAATAAGGCACACCAATCTTATTCTTACTTCAGGAATTTAAGAGAGGGGAAGCTACTCCTAAAATCAAGGCCAGAAGAAGTGACAGTGACCATCTTGAAAACCAAAACTAAGCAGCCTTAGTGAATCAATCAAGATGTTGCTATGTAACTTATTAAAGAGCAAAGTTTATTTAAGCACTTGGACTTTATAACTCCTAAGAATCAGAATGGGGGGGGGGTCAAAATAGTTACAACATATCAGTTTGGAAGAAAGTTTATGTTTTGGTAGTTAGAGGCTCTTCTCTTCTTCTTGGCTTATTTAACCTATCCATTTTATTTTATAACTCAAAATATACTTTGGATATTTCACATTCTTATATAAACCCTGGTGTAGAATTTCCTTAGGGTCTTTCACTTAATTTTCCTAGTCCCTGGATTGTACTGGCGTAAACCACTGTGCATGTTACATGACCCACAGATGTGTGCCTCCACCAACCAATCGCTTACCACTACTGGAGGTAAGGCCGCAATGGGAAGAATTAAGCCACAAATGGAAACAAAATACCTTTTCCGGCTTCATTCTCAAATCTCAACAGTGATGAGAATGGCAGCCTGGTGAAGACACCACAGCCGCCATGACTGTGTGAATGTCTCCAGCATAAGGCAACTTCCATGGCCTCCCAGTTAGATGGGGAACTGCCCAGGCAGGAGACTTTCCATTTCTTCTTGCTGATACAAAGGACTAGACTCAGCATGGAAGTTCTGTTCCTCCCAAATCGGTGTCAACAAGTGGCCAGAGTCATCCATAAATAATTTTCTCTGATCTATTGTATGAAAGCAATGTGCCATTTCTCTAAATTATGGAATGTCTTTCCCATTATAAAAGAAACACCTGCTAAATACAGAAAACTTCAAAGATTTATATAAGAGATGCTAATGGCAGGAATTTTTAACACTCTGTCCTATTTCCCTCCAATCTTCTTTGTGCATGTAATTTTCATACCAGAAAGTGTTCTACTTTTCACTGTAACATAGTTTTTTCCCTTGTTTAAAATTTCTTTGAAGCTGGCACACCGAATGACACATAGTCCATCCATCTGTACCTTCACCATGCCTTATTTAACCATTCTCATTACTACTTGGCAGAAAGATATATCAGCTTACATGTTGTGCACGAGCGTCCCAGCAGCACATGACATGCCCTCCGCCCCCTTACTATACTCTCATCAGCACTGAAATTTTTGCCCATTTAAATTTGTACCTCTCTGTTTACTAGCTAGAGCTTATTGGCCTGGAAGTATTTCTTCTGTGACTTACCTACACAGTTCTTTTATCCACTTTTCTACTGGGATTTAATGACTTTTCTCTTTGAGCTTAGTTTTGTTCAGCTTGACTCACATCTGTTGCATGCCCACTTAGGTCAGGTGCTGCAAGGTACCTGTAGGTCTTACCTTTCCTTTGATATGACCAACTTCTTTGTGCACCTGCTCCATCCCTGTTGCCATAATTGTGCTGACATGAGAAACCACCATCCCTAGCAACAGTTGGTGTTGCTACCAAGAGCTGGAGTCTGACTATCCCAGCATCTAAGTGGGGTAGCAGGTTTCTGACAACTACAGTAGAAAGAGGTACTAACATTCTCTAGAAGTTCTCACTAAGGCAGGAGATGGGGAGAGAGGCCCCTGGGAGCTAATGTAATTGGCATCTCTGTGAGACAGCCTGGTCTCTCTAGGTGCTTTGTTTGGTTTCAAGTAAGAGGCAGAGCTGGGGGAGGGAAAAGAACTTCTCACTAGATGCTTATTCTATGCCAGGGACTGTGGCTGGGCACTTGAAAGACGATATTGCACTATCTTCACAATACCTTATAAACTTGGCATGTAACCCCCATGTAAGAGATGATGAAATTGAGGCACAGAACCTGCTGAAGGTCACAGGACTAGCAAGTGGCTAAGCAAATAATCAGAACCAGGGCTGTTGACTGTAACGCCCACACTCGGGTCACTATATTCTATTACATCCCACCACCATCGCCACTGTGAGTGTTGTGTTGGTCATAGGCGGTGGGGGTTAGGGTAAGCAATGCGAGGATTAATTAGGGAGCTCATAGGAGATGAGGGAAATTGTGGCAAGGGGTCCAAATGAATGACCTGTATTCTGCAGTCTGCAATATTACAGAATCACAGACGCCGAGGAGCATGGCATACTGAGAAAGTTCAAGTAATTCACTCTAGTTTAGGCATAAGGGTAGGGAAGAGATTGATGCTCTGAGTGCTTCTGACAGCCCTATTCCCTCCCCTTGCATACCCTCCCCTCTCCCACCCCACGCTAAGGCCAAGGAGACTTGCCCAGATGAAGTCTGTACTGTACCTTCACCCCCTTGTAAATGAAGCTCCTATTACCTGAAACCTTAAAATTCTCTGCCCAAAGAGCCCTTAGCCTACATCCTGGGCCCTTGTGTAGCTCGACCCCAGGTCTAATCCTCTAAGGCCGAGGTCAGCAAACTGTGGCTCCTGAGCCACATGCAGCCTTTTGGTCCCTTGAGTGTGGCTCTTCCACAAAATACCATGTGCGGGCGCACACGTACAGTGCTATTGAAACTTCGTGCCCATGCGCAGAAGTCGGTTTTTGGCCTGGGCGAGTCTATTTTGAAGAAGTACTGTTGATATGTGGCTCTGTTGACTAATGAGTTTGCCAACCACTGCTCTAAGGCAAGTAGCACCATCAGCATGAGCACACCTAGGCCTGAGGGGTGGCAAAGGGCATCTATTTGCAAAGGTGTGGCTAGAACATGGATGTTTGAGCTGGAGAGTGCACATGTATGAGAGACCCCCCTTCCCCCTACCCCTGCACAGTGGAAGACAGAGCTGGGGAGTGGGCACAGAGAGGCAGAGCATGGCCTGGGGCTGGTCTCCCTGTGCTGCCAAGTTCTGGCAGGGAACTCGGGAGTCCAACAAGGCTGGCCTCCTCAATCACTATGAAGGTATATCAGTCAAGGTAGAAGGATAGAGCGTGTTTAATTTAACAGTTTGTTAGCCTATATTAATTTTCAATACTGAGACAGAGGGTATGTGTGTTTCCATTTGTACTCCAGAGAAGAGGCAGGAATGGAAGCAGGTCTCGAATAAGGATGGTGGGAGTGCTGGATTTATCCTGAGGACAATTGGGGGACTACCACCAGGGGGTTTGGAAAGATTGCCTCCAGCTGTGTAGAGGGGGCGTATGCTGGGCTCAACCAGAGGGAGTGACAATTGCAGAATCAGAGGAGCCACATCCTCTGGATCTTGGTAAGTCCCCCTAGTGCAAATGTCCTTGGGCTGCCCCACCTAAAGCCGCAGCTGTCACCCAACCCTCCCCTCCCTCCCTCACACTCTCCCTCCCTCCCTCCTTCTCCATCCCTCCCTCCCTCTCCCCGGACTTATTTTTTCTTAGCATTTACTACCATTTGGATCATATATTTGACTTATTCATGTATTGTCCGTCTTCCCTCACTAGAAAATAAACTCCATGAGGGCGGGGTTTTGTGTGCATTCAGTGCTGGATGCCCAGTGGCTAACACAGTGCCTGGTATACGCTGAGACTCAATACGCTGTGGAAGCAGAGGTAGCATTAAGGATATGGAATCTGGAACCACCCCTCCTCAGTCTAAATCCCAGCTCCATCGTTTCCCTATTGGGAAACCTTAGGCAAGTCGCTTTCAACCTCTGTGCCTCAGTTCCTGCCTGTAAAACATGAATAATAGCAATTACATCACAGGGCTATTTTTAGGGCTAAGTTTAAAAT